AATCCAAGGGCTTCGAGCTTGATCTTGAATCCGGCGGTCTTGATCTTGATTGTTCTTGAGACTTGAACGTTCTTGAAACTTGAATGCTTGAATTCTTGAACTCTTGAACTTGTAGAGAAATCTGCAGCTTTTGATCCACGAGCTTTCTCTAGCTTCTTGTTAAAATTCTTGGTCCTCTTTTCTGAATTTGAGGGCCTCTATTTATAGTTTTAGAATAGGGGAGTTGTGATTGGAATAGGATTCCCTTCGGCCAATCAAATTTAAGTGACATGGCATATGGGCTTTATGGAGCGGGCTTTGATTAAATTCATATTTATTGGATTTAAATAATTAACCCAATTATATTAATCCATAATATTTATTTGGACTAATATTCATGAATTTAATATAATCCGAATCATCTAATAAATTTATATTTAATAAATTTTAAATGATTACACCGTTATTTTAGCAATTTTTTTAAAACTATTTGACAACATTTAATATCTCTGTCTTCATTTTTATAAGTTAAATTAATATTAGTTTATGCTTATTTTTATATTCTAATTATAAAATTAAACATTTTACATACAATTTTAAACCAAAATCCTACACAAATTCACGCAATCTTCTATTTATATTATTTAATAAAATAAAAGAGATAAAGACTGTTACGTGTCACCACCACATAAATTTAATTTTAATTTTTTGTAAAAAATTAAAATATTGACCGTGTGCATATTATTTCTCCATGTTGGAGTCCTAAAAACCTGCGACCATAAAAATCATGCACGTTTAGAACTCCTCTTCTTCTTTTCTTTTTTTTATGTTTTCTTATTTAATATTAAATATTTAAATTAAATAAAAAATTTAATTCCATAAATTCAAGAAGGATACAACAATTTGAGATTAGTTATGTAATGCCCAGTGTCAACATTGAAGCACATAAAGAGTGGATTTGCAAAACAATGTACCGGTAACTTTTTCCTAATTTTGTGTTGCACATAATTATGTTGACAATATTAGTTATTTGAAGAAAAAAAAATAGCACTACGTACGCAATTAATGAAAGAACAGAAAAAGATTATCAAAGAAGAGATAAAGATGAAGTCAATAATTACTATATTTATTTATGATGGATGACGGAATGAGTAGGAAGATAAGAAAGAGAGAGTAGTTGGAGGGCTTGGACAATTAAATATTGTAATTTTATCATTTTTTCTTATTTATTATGCATTTAATTAATATTTAATTTGATTTGTGAAATGAAATAGTATATGTAAAATCTACATATTATTTTATTAATTTAAATAGAAAAGCTCTTCGTCCACTTCCCCCGTTGACGCATACATGATCCTCCCACTTTGACTCAATTTAATTTTAAAACAATGATAATCAAGCTCAACTCATGGTAATTTTCTCCTGTTATGTTGAATGTCTCAAAATAAATAAGACTTTTGGATCAAGATCAAAATCCAGAACTCTGAAATTCGCCCAGAAGATCAAGGATTCTACTTGCACTAACACATTATTCACAATGCCTTCTGGTCAAGCACGAGTAGTAGAAGATTCTTGTTGCTAGTGAAGTTTGAAACTAGCTGCTTCATTGTTCCACAAATTTCCAGTTTTCCCCTATTTTTGTACTTCCTGTCATTATCGTTCCAAAATGGCATTTTTTTTAAAAAAGAAATAACTCCGGTTCTCAGACCTCTTTGGCTGCACTCCTCTTTGGTTGTTGGAGAGAATTCAATTCGACATTAGGTTTCCTTATTTGAAAGATAAATGGGTGGGTCAATGTTATAGATTAGGTCGGATTAAATTATTTGGACGGACGGGTTATATCCCAATTTGATTTATTTTAAATTAAATTGTTCTTTTAATCTTAGTTGTCCATGTGTCTTATGTTAGTCATAAGGGTATATTTAGCCCGACAGTATGACAGAAGGAGTATATTTAGCTCGAAAGTATAATTAGGAGTATATTTAAACTATTTCTTATAGTATATGGGTATATTTGGCCCTTTGCCGTTGTAAAAATAAAGAAGATAAATTTTGTATTTAATCTATTCTGATAACTAAAATAAAATAACAATTAAAACACACATGTATTTAATTGTGTAACTTTATATTGATAGAAGTTGATGTTATTAGAAGAGTTTTTTTTTTATTAAAATAATTAACATATTTTTTTGATAATTCAAATTATTACAATAAAAATAAATATTATAAATAATATAATACAATTATTTAGTTACAAAATTCTATTTAATAGCACATTAAAAACACTTTATATATGTGAAATCGTAAAAATGTAACATATTTTCGCAAATCTCTCTCTCTATATATATAAATAAATAAAATCATAAAAATGTAACATAGCAATACATAGGCAGGTTGTCACCATATTGTCATTTTTGCAAATCTCTCTCTATATATAATATAAATAAAGGAGGAACATAGAGAAGGTGATGTGGCACCTCTCTATGGCCTCCATTCATATTTATTTTTTTCTTGTTTTCTTGACATGTTTTCTTATTTTTTTTCAATTATTTTTTTCTTGCAAAATCATCTTCTTAGCTTATACCTCTTTAATTATATAAATTCTATTCTTAAATTAGTATTAATAATATTCATAACTCCCAAATCTTTCATATTCATAACCTCTCAAGCCTTTCATATTAATAACCTCTAATTATTTAATATAGAAGGTTATACTACCACTATAAAATCACACTAAAATTGTGTATTGTTTTGTAGTCATCTTCGGTTAGAGAATTAGTGGCAGACATGTTACAATATTTTTAAGCTTTGATGTGCATTATCTTTTCCAAATATGATTTCATATATTACTTTTAATTAGCAAGTAAGGCTAATATGTCAAAGCATATTTTTGTTTCTTCTGGATAAATTATTTGGTTTGTTATCTTTATGATTTCTTTACAACCATAAAAATGGAGATTCATTTTAGGACTAATAATTTGTTGTTATCTTTCTTGACTCTTGTATATAGGATGAAATGAAATCATCCAGAGATGGAGATTAATGGATTTTGAGCTATATAGATTGATTATTCTTTATTTTTTTTAGGTGCGTAAGAAATAATGTTTCTATTATATTATTTTCTTTTGGATTATTTATGTTTTGTCAAAAATGATTATATGTGTAGGAGGACTTATGATTAAATGTAATTTTCTCCTAAATCTTTTCTTTTTCTTCTTTTGCTAGATAATTTCTTAACTTATTTGATCATATTTTGCATATTATAGGAGATATATCTCTAATGAAAATGGTTAGACATTCTTGTATAATTTGATTTTACAAGGAAAAATAATTTGATATGTCTAATAGAATTACAACTCTTTCTTTGTTGAAATCATACATTTAATATTATTTGTTTGTGTTCGTGAAGATATAAATCCTGAGTTTTTTAAAATTAATTATTTAATTTATTCTCTTTAGACCTCTATGTAATTCTTAGTATAATTTGATTATATTATATTGATAACACTCTTCTAAAAAATTTATTTGTTCAGGTAAATTCATCTCTCACTTTTTTGTTGATAATATTAATTTATTGTTTGTGTGCTATAATATTTTAAAACATAGAAGCAGGAAATGAGTCAATGGATATCGATATGCTACTTAAAGAAATACGTACATATACTTTCATAGTCTGGTGGAACAATTTTTAGTAACAAAAATGATAGAACATGAGAATATAAAGTTAATTTATAATTTTAAAAATACAGTTGATTTTATTAAAAACAAATTATTTATTAATGTGTAAAATTGCAGTCTTTAAATTCTTCATTTTTGTTGTTTTCTAGGAGATTTCAAGTTGTTTATTAATAAGTCAAGTTGCAGTTTTTATATTTTTCATTTTTGTTGTTTTCCAGGAGTTCTCAAGTTATTTCAAAATTGCGATTAGTTTATAATTTTAAAAATACAGTTGGTTTCCTTGCTTTCTATTTACTTATAATAAAATATTTATCTCAATAACTCTAATTTGATTGTCTTTTAATTTTCTATAATTAATGTTCCTTTTTAGTGTAATAATGTACAAATATTACTCCTATTATGTTATAAACAAGTCCAAAGCCACATTCTTAATCCTCTTAATTATTGTGACTCTTTATTCTTAGGAATTTATTATATTGAATGTAATATTTATTTAAAATGTGAAATATACTTTTTAATATATTTGTGTTTAAGCCATGCAAAATTAAAAGAAATAGGAATGTCATTGCTTTGAATCTTTTTTTGCATAGTTAATTCTCTCTTTTGTTCTCTTTTATGTTTATTTTTAAATTTATTTTCTTACATTCTTTTGTTTTCCCAATATAAGTTGTCCAAAAAAGCAATTGGATATATGAACCTAAATATAATAATAATAATAATAATAATAATATATTAAGATATGGAAACTAACTAATTAAGATTGTTATTTTTCATCATTTAAATATGTAAACTTATTTTTATTTAAAATTTAATGATTAAAAAGTTATTAATCAAATAGTAAAATAATCTAATATTGTACAATAAAAATAATTAAAATACGTGATGATTGAGTTATGACGGCGACAAGTAGTAGTAATTGTAGATAATGATTAAAAATTGTGTTGGCTAACGATGTAGTCATGGATAATAACTATTAATAGCAATCTGAGTTTACACATTATCGAAAAATTATACTAAGAATATAATTAAGGGAAAAAGGGCCTGATTTACCCCTGAACTTTATGATTTGGAGCTGATATACCCTCCATTTAAAAAATGGCCCATATATGCCCCTGCCGTTATAGAAATGGCTCATATATGCCCTTTTACTTAACAGACCAATATTTAATAAATTAAAAATTCATTTTTTTTATGTTTTAATTTGAGAAAATGCCACGTGGCTCTTAAAATACCCCACCCAAAAACTTTTCACCAACCCGACCCAATTGGAAACAAGAAAACCCCACCCACTTAAATAAACCTAGCCCATTTCATTCTATGGTCTCCACTCTCCACGCTCACACACAAAAAAAAATCAAAAACTTGTTAGGGTTTCAGTGAGCTCTAAACTGACGTCAATCAGTCTCAATATTGTTCAAAACCTTAGGTAAGTTTCGATTACTTTCTTCTCTTTACTTTTAAGGATCTTTGGTGTTAAAAATATAGGATAAAGTGTGAGAAAAGTGTAACTAAGTTTACCTATGTGCTTTTTTCCCTTGACATTCTGTCCATGGAAGGTTTATTTTCTTACTCTAATACATGAGTTTATCTCTTTGTGTGCAAAGATGGAATCTTCGTTGGTCCCCAAATAGTTATTGTCTCTTTAGTATTTTAAAATTCATTTTTCAGTTGGTTGGTGTTAAATGCTAAGGTGGTCCCTATGTCTAATTTATTTGCTTGTTGCAGGTGTCATTTTGAAGGATGATTGAAGAAGTGGATATTGTTTTCAACTATGGGGGTAATTGGGTAATTTCCCCAAAGCTGGGATACAATATAAAATTTCAGCACACCTGGTATTATAATACTTGTTTAGTTTGTTATGATGATTTGTGTGAAGCTTTTACTTCCAAATTTGGATTTAAGGAAGTTCAACAATTGTTGGTCACTGGTCCATCTGGTACTTATTATGTAATTGAAGATAATGATGGAATTAAGACTCTTCAATACTTATTTTCAAAAGATTTTAAGGTAATAAATTTTTATGCTGTAGATGCTCATGAATTGAGAGTTTCTGCCACAAATATCATATATCATACTGAATCATATTCTGTGGATGTTGAAGTTGCTACTGATTGTGATTATAGTGATGTGGAGGATGAAACTCTTTATGAAATGGGCAACAACTGTTAAATTGTTGAATATAATGTTGAAGTGCTTCAACGTTATGAACATGAAAAAGAGAGAGTTGTGAGTGATGGACTTGAAAAGTTTAAGGAATTAGAAATGGGTATGACCTTTAAGACTATTCAAGAAGCTAGGCAGGTTGTTAGCTTTTATGCTATGGCTAACAAAAAGAAGTTGAAAACAAAAAAAAGTGATACAAAAAGAATTAGGTATGAGTGTTATGATGGTTGTCCCTTTACTCTTCTCATATCTAAGGATGGAAAATCAGCAACATTTAAGGTTAAAACATTGAAGCCTAAGCATACTTGTGGTGATTCTTTTGTTAATCCATTGGCAACTTATCATACCTTGGCGGTTTATTTTAAGGATGAAGTTCAAAACAATCCAAAATACCCTATCAAAGACATGAGAGGAATTCTTGAAAAAAAATTCAAGTTGAATGTCTCAAGATCCAAACTAAAAAGAGCCAAAACAATGGCTCTTGATAAGTTGGAAGGCAGTTTCAAAGATGACTACAATAGGCTTGAAGCTTATGGTCAAGAACTTAGACAATCAAATCCAGGAACTGATGTGGTAATTAATATCTCTAAAGATGCACTTGAACAAGGCATAAGAAGGTTTTTGAGAATATACATTTGCTTCAAGGCTTTGAAGGATGGATGGAAAAGTTTGAGGCCTATAATTGGTTTAGATGGAACATTTCTCAAAGGAAAATGTAAGGGGCAACTATTAGTAGCTGTTGGGCAAGACTCAATGAATCATTTTTACCCAATAGCTTGGGCGGTGGTGGAAAAGGAAAACACAGGAACATGGACATGGTTTATTCAGTTGTTGAGGATTTCGTTGGAGCTGAAAAATGGTGAAATTGTGACATTTATGTCTGATATGCAAAAGGTAGATTTAATTTATTTTTTCTTATTGCCTTTTCTTTATCTTTTTTCTTACTGTCATATTTTTCTTTTCGATTTTTAGGGCCTGCTGGATGCTGTAGCTAATGTTGTTCCAGAAGCACACCATAGGTTCTGTGTGAGGCATATAGAATCTAACTGGTGCAAGAAATGGCGGAGTGGTGAAGAGAAAAAATTGATGTGGTGGTGTGCATGGAGTACCTATGAAGAAGAATTCAAAGACACTTTGAAGGTGTTAGGAAAGGTGGATGAAGATTCAGCTAGTGATCTTCTTCATTTTCCTGTAATTAAATGGTGTAGGGCATATTTTGATACTCAATGTAAGAATCTAATGGTAGACAATAACTTCACCGAGTCTTTTAACAGTTGGATACTTGAAGCTAGACAAAAACCAATTATTAAAATGTTGGAGGAAATTAGAGTGAAGGTGATGAAAATTTTGGTGAAAAATGAAAAAATGGGCAGAAAATGGCAAAATGATATCAGTCCAACGGCTATGAAATTGTACAATGACTATTGATTAATGGCTACCAATTGTACAATTGAGTTCAATGGATATTATGGTTAAGAAGTGAAAGATGGAGACACGGACACACATACAGTGAATTTGAAGTTGAAGAAATGCACTTGTAGATTATGGGACTTGGGTGGAATACCATGTCATGATGCCATCAAGGCACTTTTGCATAAAAAAACTGAACCATTGGAAGAGGTTCATTACTGGTACAGAATAGAGGCTTATTTGTTAACATACAAGCACAAGTTGCAACCAGTTAGGGGTTCTCAATTCTGGAAAATCGACCCTGCTCAAGCAATGGAACCTCCGGAAATGGTAAAACTTGTTGGCAAACCCAAGATGAAAAGAAATAGAGAAACTGATGAGGCAAGTTAGAGAAAGGGGGCATGGAAGCAGTCAAGAAAAGGAACTCTAATGAGATGCAACAAGTGTGGTGATTTCAATCACAATGCTAAGGGATGTTATAAGGTAATCTCTCTTAATTTTTTCTTTTAGTTAAAAAGTGTTCGTTTTTGTCAATCACAACAATTTTTTTGGGTTGAAGGACCATGAAGACAGTGAAAGTTCACATGAAAGAAATAAGAAAGCAAGAAGTCAAAAGTCGAGGAGTCGAGCAGGAAAAAACTCTACATGTAGTGCCACTGTAAAGTATGAGATAGAAGCTTCACCCCAACAATTTCAGACACAACAGTCGACTGCTTATGGTCCTGAGATCGGGAATGAAGAAGATCCAGCATTGCGACCAATGGTAATTTCTGAGACAGAAACAAGGATGGAAAAGAGGTCTCGAATATTTGAAGGAATAGGAAGCAGGAAGATTGTTTTTAAAGGGGATGCAAGAGGAATCTCGACCCCTTCGGATCTACCATATTCACCAAAGAAGACTACTTGGAAGGGCAAGAAAGCAGCCACAACTGATCAGTTACAAGCTGAAGTAAAGAAGAAAAAAGTGAAGCAAATGGCAATGAAGGGCAAATGGCCCGTGGATACTAATGATTATCTAGTTTAGAAGTCGTTGTGAGGTTGATCATTTTTTAACATTAGGTGGTTATTTTGGATAGTATTATATGATGTAAATTCAAACAATTTCTTTTGTTGCTAACCATATAGTAGATATTCGTGGTTGGTTTAAGCACCAGAAGGTTAATCTTCTTTTGCTGGTAACTTGTGTTAAGATAATTTTATAAAAATTGAGAATTATATTCTACTGCATCTAGTGTAATTATTGTTGATTGTATTTTGTGCGAGAGAGTAAATTTATGTGCTTTGATTGGTAGCCGTTGTTTAAATTACGACTAAAATTAGCATTGTTCACGAACTTCTTTGAACTAGTAGATAGCTCACAGATGATTCAACGTGGAATGTCAAGGAGTCATTGATGATTCTCTATCATTTTACCTCGAGCTTTTGATTCTCTTTCATTACTAAATAATACAGAAGTTAACAAAATCACTACACAAGACCAAATAAGGTGAATCAAAAGGTATCATAAATCAATACAATGAACCAAAAGTTAATTACACATAAGTCACAAAACTGCAAGTGAGATGAAAAAGTTTAGTCGCATAATATGGCCTTGGAATCTAGCATTTAAATTCCCAGAAAAGATATGATCCTACAAAGTACTACTATATTTCCAAAATTTACAAACTTTTTGCCTCAGTGAGTGAAGAAAAGAACCAACTAAGCAACTGAATGTAAAATAACTTCAAACTTTTCTCTTGAATTTTAAGATTTCATAAACGCAATGACTCCGTCCACAGTCCGTTCGCGAACACTCTGAATCTGTAGTGTGACGGCCAATAAAACTTCAGCAGACTCTCGATTTTCACTTGTAGCTGCAAGATGTATTAGCATGTAATTATCACTGAACCCTGCCTTTACCACACAACGAAAAGAATTGGCTGCCGCAACTACTAGCAGAGGACACATATTATCATCTCCTATTTAAGCATCAAAATTAGCATGGTGTTTTAACAAAACCTTAATAGCATCTTCCTGGTTGCGATCTACAACGCATATAAATGGTGTTCCAACATCAACATCACTTCGCAAATCAACGCCTACACCTATCGGCAAAAACAATTTAACCAATTCAATGCCCATTTCCTGCATCATTATATGGACAAAATAAAACACATAAGAATATCACTTCAAGCAAAGAATATCAAGAACAAATTTACCCTATAATTCTAACACCAAAGGTCCTTAAAAGAAAAGGGAAGAAAGTAATTGAAACTTACATAAGATTTTGAACAATATTGAGACTGATTGACGCCAATTTAGAGCTCACCGAAACCTAACAACTTTTTGATTTTTTTTCTTGTTGAGCGTGGAGAGTGGAGACCATAGAATGAAATGGGTTAAAGTTTATTTAAGTGGGTGGGGTTTTCTTGTTTTCAATTGGGTCGGGTTGGTGAAAAGTTATTGGGTCGGGTATTTTAAGAGCCACGTGGCATTTTCTCAAATTAAAGCATAAAAAATGTATTTTTAATTTATTAAATATTGGTCTGTTAAATAAAAGGGCATATATGGGCCATTTCTATAACGGCAGGGGCATATATGAGCCATTTTTTAAACGGAGGGTATATCAGCTCCAAATCATAAAGTTGAGGGGTAAATCAGGCCCTTTTCCCTATAATTAAAAAGGTTACAAAGAAGCAGAAAAGAACAGATTTCAAGTTTGCATAAATATAGATAAATTTTACTAAAAAAGATCCCAAATAAAAAAGAAAAAGACGATCACATCTCAAGTTTACATTCCAGTAGTTCCAATATTACCTTTTCTTTTTCTCTATGAAATTTATTTTTAATAATTAACTTTCAGAAGTTCACATATATTGATTTCTTAATGAATTTCATATTTAACCTAAATATTTTTCCTAGCTTCTCTTCTATGAACTTGTGTGATTAATAAAAAAATTCCTTTTATTAAAGTAATTACTAATATTAGTATGTAACTTTATTTTAATTTTTTCATAACTGCGCAAAGCTCGGACAAGTACACTAGTTCTACATAAAAGCAAAACATAATTAATTTCAAAGAGATCATTATACATTTTGGTTGAAATTGGGATGAATATTTGCCACTTATTCAAACATAAATAGAAGTTTAAAATATCTTTTAGCGATCAAATAATAAACTACTTCGATAATAGCCTTCATGATATAATATTTTTAATTGAAAGTGGATATACTAATCTTTTTTCCTAAAATACTATCTCATAGGAATACTTTTTTGAAAATTTATGATTTAAATTTTTTAAACAAGTATACTAATTTTAAGATAAATAATGTTGATGAAAAAAATATTGAAGGAATCTTATTAAACATATCAAATAATCTTAAAAAGTATTTTATTTTTTGTGTTGTAAACTCTTTTTTTTTTTTTTGTATATATCTAAGGTATGCTTTTTGTTTAAAAATAAAATAAAATAAAATATATTCAGATATTGTTATTGGGACCATTTAACTACTTTTTATTGTAAAAATAAATTACATTTTATATAACGTTTTTTTCTGTTTTTTTTTGTTTACTGTATATAGTTTGTTGAGTTATTTATAGTGCATGAATAAAATGTAACTTATCAAAATTCGTTATTGAAAAATCACTTATATATAAAATCAAGCAATTGCTTCACTATGTGTATTTAATTAATTTCAATAAATATAAAATGCACTTATTAATTATGTATTAAATTTTATTTTCATGTTTATACTAATATTAAATAATTATTAATTATTGTAATTTAATTAAATTGTCCTTTAATAGATTAACTCGAATTGAAGTCAATAGAAAATATTTTTGAAATTTGTAGTTTTGAACTATGCATGTAAAAAATTAATTTTTTTTTATTTCTTATCATATTAAATATTTTATGAGGAAAGTTAGAATTTGATTTTTTCGTTAAAATATAATGATTTTATTAATAGTTCAACATAAATATATTGTAAACTATAAACGTAGTTGATTATAGCTTTTAAAATAATATTATAATATTGTAACAAATAAAGTTATGTACTAAATTAAGTTACTATGATCATATATGATAGTAATAATGTATTATTATAATCACTTTTAAGAAATAAACTAGTAAGTGAATAACAAATTTTATACAAGGATACGAATACTAATTATGTTAAAAAGGAATTTCAAAGATCATAAAAAAAACACTATATAAAGACAACAAATGGTTTCCGTTTCCTTCAAGTTTTGTTTTTAAGTTGAGCAGATTTTTTCTTAAAAAAAATTAGGTCTTCCTTCTCATTTTCTTTCTTTTCACTTAAATTTTTCCTTTTTTCGTGAGCTAAAAACATGTAGAGTTGATACATGTCGGAATTTGCCATATCGATTTACCTTCAACATTTTATGGGATGCAATGACTTGGCCAGAAATTTCACAAAGGGTGTCCAGAATTAACTAGTGAGATTTGAACACACGATCACTACCTCATTTCAAGGAGGTGAAACCACTGGGCTATAATAGCTTGTTGTGTTAAGGGTGTCCAAAATATTTTATTCAATCATTTCGTGTATCATTTTACTTGTATATACGGTATTTTTTCCGACGAAGGGTGTCCAATTTGGACACCCTTACCCCATGTAGCATCAGATGAATGCTTTTGTTTTGGAGCATCAGATCCAATCTTGAAGGGCTATACAAATGCTGATATGGCAGGTGACCTTGATAATAGAAAATTCACTACTAGATATTTGCTTACTTTTTCAGGAGGGAGCTATGTCATGGTAGTCAAAGTTGCAGAAGTGTGTTGCACTATCTACAACTGAAGCTGAGTATATTGCGGCTACTGAAGCCGGCAAGGAGATGATATGGGTAAAGCAATTTCTTCAAGAGCTTAGTTTGCATCAAATGGAGTATATTATCTATTGTGACAACCAGAGTGCAATAGACTTGAGCAAGAACTCATGTACCATGAAAGGACAAAACACATCGACGTTAGATATCATTGGATTCGTGAGGAAGTGGAGAGTGAATCATTTCA